GGAGAAAAGAGTCCCAAAGAAAAGAATTTGGCTAGGAAAAAAGTTGATGACGATTCACAATTATCATTTTCTAGTCCTCCAGTTATTTCTAGAACACATACAACAAAAGTTTCCCGATAACATCAGCGTCATCCTTTTTATTTTTTTCCACCTAAAGTAGGTAAAAGCGATGTTTCGCAAAATGACCGTTACTACACAACAAGCAAAAATACCCTAACCTATATCACCACAGAGATACTTGTCAGTCTCTTCTCCGCTGACGAATTTTCTAAAAACCTTGGAAGGAAAATTGGAAAATTCCCTGATTCGCTTTCCAAAAATGCATTCATTGCTACCACGTAATACATGACCTTTAAAGCGCTTTTGTTGCGGCTTAAGTCCGATCGCAAACGCAGCTCACGAAGTTCTTAAAGTGAACTTGTCCTTTTAAAGATTACTCTAAGATCTTGTTTACTGTAAAAATTGGCCTAAAATACTTTAAAATCAAGAAAACGCGCTATGGGCATCAATTCAGCACTAGAAAGCCAGGTTCCAAACTGTTCCTGAAAGATTTCGGTTGCTGTACCTTTGATCACAAATTCCAATTAATTAATATACCCCAAAACTTTTCGAGAATGGAGTTCCTCCCACTCGCACTCTTACGCTTCTAAAATAAACATGTCGAGCCGCAAACACTGCTCAATATGTAATTAAAGATTTTTAATCAGGGCTTTTTGCAATTTCTTCTTTCGAAAATGAAGCGCACCAACAAGGTTTCGGATCTTACATTCTCGGCATCGCAAATTGAAAGCGATGAGTTGGGTCCAACAATGGTTGAAATTCCACTGGAGTCAAAAAGTATGGAGCAAGAACGATCGGAAACAGAGAGGTATGTTATTACTACTATAAACATTCTTAAACAAGCTTACTTCTAATCACTAACCAACATCTAGTAAGATTGTTTGAAAGTTACATATTCCAATGGTTCAGGTAAATTTGCAGTCTGTGTTTTATTGCTTAGCTGTAAACACAGACAGTAGCAACAGGAATCGTCAGTACAGCCTCCTGGTCGCCATGTAAGAAAAAGACAGATTTAAATAAACAGAACAAGGAGAAAAGAAGCAAAGGAGATGGAAAAAGGAGAAAGGAACTCTGGTGCTTAGCCAACACATTTGTTTCTGCGCTATCGTAACAGCTAATAGCGTCTTATGGGATTTTCGCTTGGGTAGAGAGATATTGAACAGCATAGTCGATCTTATACTGCACAGACGGTCTTCCTAGTGGCTATGTCCATCACCTGGTTACCACTCAACGGTGTAATTGCCCAATTTTAACGCGCACGCACGATCAACTCAATTGATACCAACTTATGTCCCTTAGTAAAATTTCTGATAATACTGATACATGAATGGTACTGCAGCCAGCTGAAAAATGGTAATGGTTCAGAATCAGATCGATTTGGTGACACCGATAAGGCAAAAACAGACGAAGAAAAAGCTAAACTTATACCGTTCTGGCAAATTGT